TGGAAAACCCTGATTCCGAATCAATGGTATAATTAGGCTCAAGAATCCTGAAAGAACAAATGACGTATGAACCAATTATTGGTCACCGACTACCATAGGACTGCATCTTCTGACGTTGCTCCACTGTCTTGTGGATCAGACCTTTAATTCGAAAGTTCTGAGTGGGGCCTCCCTAAGAAAACAACCTGCTTCGGTTCGGGCATTCGGGTAGTATCACAGTCCACACACAAATCAAGTGACTTTTGTGGCGTATATATTTATTCGGTTCCTCTTTGTACCAATATTTATGTGTTCAAATAAATATATAAGTCAGTTTCTAATGAGGTCACTCTCACGATTTTCAGTATTCCTTCTCTCAAGCTAATGTCGATCCATGATTAAAACTGTATCATAGATAAATCTTTTCAAATAATCTATAGAATTGGCTTTATAATACTTAGTTACTATTTATAATTGGTTCACAAACCACTGAGTCCCAATTTAGTGATTTCAATGTCCTGGATCCGATCCTCTGTGAGGTCATGAATGCACACTGCTGAAGAGTTCTGAACTAGAACTATACATCCATACAATACCTCCTAGTCTTCACTGACGATCATGTGACGACTTATTATCATTCCGTGATATCTAAGTAATAAATTCAATAATTTTCACAATGAAAAAAATATACTTAAAGTGTGACATTGAATTTTCATTCCCAATAGAGATTGACTATTAAATAAATAGAAAAAGAAACAGGTTGATAATTATATAGGGTTAATTATTTCACTATTCAATCCTTCTCTTCTCTATTTCTATATCTTAATTTGTTCCCATGTCAACAAATATTGTGTCTGTCATTTATTTTGTATACAAGTTATTAAAAGATTCGGTTACCCTCCCCCTACTTTTCTTTTGCACTACACATAAATTCAATATATCTATATATGTCTCCATCATTTTAAATTATCACCTATTTCTAAGCTAAGACTTACCGAAAATAAACACGCAACGTATATTCTCTTGCTTATCATTTATTAAGTGTCAATCAAGTTTGTTTATTGTTGTAATTTAATCCAACTTGACTAAATAAAAAAATATTAGATTTAATTATTGTATCAGATAGAAGAGATTGAATAATAAAACTAAACATCATCATCTCTGCCTGTTACTCCTCGTGCAGGAGCATAGGCCAGCTACCGGCACTCGCCATCCAACCCTTTGTCCTGAACAATCCTTTCCAGTTGTTATTCATCCTTTTCATATCTGCTTCTATTTCTTGACGTAATGTGTTCTTTGGCCTTTCTCTTTTCTGCTTCCTTTCATGATTCCAATGTAGGACTTGCCTCGTGTTGCAGTTTGATGATATAGAAAAATGTAGTGTAGATTTTTTTGCTTTCATTATTATCGTTTAATACTTACTCATTCATTCATTTATTGTATGTTCTAATTGCACATTAATACACTTCCGTACTATGTCCTTATATGCAATATTTCTTTTATATATTACTATCATTGAATTGACTACTTCTATGAATCCGGTGTTTATCTTGTTGTGCTAATGCGGTATGACAACTTGGATCGATGCATATATGTGTCGGGTCCTACGTTGTAGCTGACTGATTGACATTCACTTTGTAGTATATGATATTGATGAATAGAACAAATAGTTTTCTTCTTTCAGATAATTGGTTTAAAGTGTGGTTTCTTTTTAGCACTGATAGTATTTTTTAATTGGATAAAAAGGTTAACAACGAGTTATTGTACCTAAGACTTAATAATTGTTACCGTGATATTTGAAAATCTTGGATTTGATTTCATATACAGTGATCTTAAGTGCTGTTAGAAGTATGAGACCGATTATCACTTCCCTATTGCCCATACCGTGGAAGGGTTCTTTTGGAGGTAACTGAAAAGGAAATTGGATTAGCGGTGGTCTTAGTGACTTGAGAGTGTGACCGCAGTGCTCAAGAGACAACTGCTTGAAACTGATCACACATGACCTTTTTGTGAGTAATTTTTGTGTTAGCTGCTTACTTGTTGAGACCGTACCACCGGAAATAGATATCTGTAGGATAAGGCGAGGTGTAGATTTTTAGGGTCAACCATTTCTAACCCCACTTCTTCTTTGTGAGAAGGCAGCATCGTTGTTATGCTGGTTGTCTGAAGGAAACACCTTACTGCTGTCACAGCTCTGTTTAGTCTGCAGTACGACTTCGCCTTCGGACCTTGGGTTTGCTGCTATTAGTCTGACTGGCATGATAGGACCTTGAGGAACGATTGTTCCAGTCAGTATAACTCTATTGTTTCATCACGATAGTCAAGCCCGATCACCACTTCAAGGTAGAAGCAACGGTCTGCGATAAACTTGATGTAAATCATAAAGTCGATCCTCGGTGGGGGTCAGTAGATGCCTATTTGTTAGATTTGCATAAAACAACTATCTAATATTTAGAAGAGGGATTTTGTGGAGATTGTAATAATTTTAACATTTGAATTGATGATTCAGTCTAAGTTTGACGACCATTAAAAACCTGGAAGCACTGGAAGACCGTTTCATCGTAGTATGGGACTCCTCAACAGTACACATTCACGATATGACACACAGGGCTCGAAACCGGGACCTTCGGTCTCGTGCGTGAACGCTTAATCTCTATACCACTGAGCTTGAATCCAACGATGTTCATGTCTAACTCCAGTCAGTCCATAAACTTGCCTAACCCTTCATCCATTATCTGAGGTGGATAACTGTCTCCATCCGGTATGGATTAACTCCACTGGTCACGGTTTCTCACGATAAACTCCAAGTAATCCATCTTGAAGTTAGTCATTATTGAACATATGGTTATTATCAGAATAGGAATTTGTCAATATTCAACTCATGAATTGATCTAAGCTAGAACGAAATGATCGTCTATTGCTTTCATGTTTTCAATAATACTTTAACTTAGATCAACTTTAATATTTCTTTCATTTTCAATATTTGTCTAGTTTCATTCAATGACAACTAGAAACTAATTTTAATGGATTTTTAGTATGTTTATACACAAAAAAAACGGATCGTTAAACATGAACTTAAATGAAATTTATAAAATTACTTCTGTTTTTCTTTTTTTTTTACATTTTCTTGTCAAAATCAGGAAAATTGTACACCTTAGTTTCTCTTTTTTTTTCTTTTTTTTTTCGAAAATAACCCACATACGCACAGACACACACACACACAGTGATAAATTTGTGTTACTAGTCAAGTTGAATACTTTATATTTTACTACAATTGAATGCTTCATTTATCGATTAAATTGTACTGTTAGTTGAAGTGATTTGTTCTTAGTCTATAAAATGTTCGTTCTTTCTTTTTTTTTTTTTTAAAAAAGAGAACGAGTACTTCCAGGTTTTCCATGGTGGCCTAACTTCAATTGACTCATGATCTGAACTATTGAAATTACTATAATATATCCACAAAACCGCTTTGTGATACTAATCAACATATGCTTACTAGTGACTGGTTTCAAGAGGTATATCCTGAAGTTCTAGTGAAAAACAATGACCAGTGGAGATCAACCGGATCAGTTGTGAGATAGTAACTCATTGATGACAATGGTGAATGTGTCGCTCAAGTTTGTGGATTGGTTGAAGTTAGACATTAACAGTGTTAGATGCCGGTTTACTGATCTGGATTGGAATCTCATTGGGGGCGGGATCGTGGATGTGCACTGATTAGGAGTCCCATAATAGGACGAAACGGCCGTCCAGTGCTTCCGGGTTTTCAGTGGTTGTCTAAGATCAATCAGTTCATGATCTCAATCAAAAACTTAATCTATACAACTCTAAACTGATAATCAATATTCACAATAGTCTTTTAACTAAATTTAGAAATATTTAAGAGTTTACAACTCTATAATAGTCAAACTATAATTCGATTTCAGAAAGGGTTTTCTGGATATCATAGTAATTTTAATAGTTGAGATCATAACTTAGACTACCAGGGAAAAACTACAAGCATTGAATGGCCGCTTCTTCCTAATGTGAGTTCGAATCTCTCGAGGCGAGATCGTGGATGCGCAGTGCTGAGGAGTCCCACGGTGGTCTAGCTTCAATTGATTCATCATTTCAACTATTGAAATTGCTATAATATTCACGCACAAAAAAAACCCTTCTGATATTTACGAGTTGTTTTATTTTCCAAAAAGAATCATAGAAGTGACTCGGTGAAATGTAGATCAACTTCAATACTAACTTTATTGAATATCAGTCATCATTATCGTTCCATTATATGAAAGTCTAGATATATTGTTAATAAGTTCAGTCATTATAATTAATGTACAAATCCCTAAGTAGGAGAAAGTATAGATATTACACTTAGTATCAACACACCTAAAATGACAAATGTAAGATTGAATGTATCATCAAGAATTGCACAGTAATGAACAGATATTGCATTTTAGCATAGGACGTTTCCACCTCAGAGTACACCAAGAATCGAATATTTGACTTTGTAGGTCATGAGGCTTATGCCTCACCTCTTAAGATACTTAGTCAAAATCTAATAACCATTATTACTAAATTCAATCAACTCACCATATAACACAAGGATCATTCCATATCATTTGTATTGTGATTGTCTCTTTCGCAAGATTGTTGAACTCGTTCAAGTGTAAGTTTCCACTGAAGTGTCAAGGACTCATTTTGTAACAATTTTTCACCTCATAAATTAAACATAATTGAAAATATAAACTGTTGGATTAAAACATTAAATTATCTGATGGTTAAGTGATCGTTGTACGAGATTTAAAGGTCTTAAGTTTGAACTCCACTGACTAGATTGTAGGTGTGGACTCCTGTAAAATGGTATAAACAAATCGAAACAATTTTTCAAAGAACATTGATTTTTCAGTTGTCCACTCTCAAGTGTAATATCAATGTGTGATGAAAGTGATCGACTATGGTTGTATTTTTTCCAAATGTTCATTTCTACATCTTCCCCCCACTGATCTCTTTCTTCTTTTCTTTTTGTTTTGCAGGATAATAATCTAGTTCGACATTTAGATGCATGTGAAACAATGGGCAATGCAACAGCGATTTGTTCAGACAAAACTGGTACATTAACTACAAATCGTATGACAGCTGTTCAATGTTTCATTGGTAATAAACATTATAAACGTATACCGACAGCTTCAGAATTACCAGAATCTATCACCAATTTCATAGTAATGAATATATCCATTAATAGTGGGTATACATCGAAACTTTTGGTAAGTGACTATGATGTTGTTGTTGTTAGTAGTAGTATTATTCTTTTTTTCCTTTATCAATGTTAAATAAAGCGAAACAAAACAAGAAAACATTATTGGTAAGTCTGACACATAAATATTTAGTCATGGACTTTGTAACCACTTTCTAGACCCCAGAAATATGTACTTTCAAACCTTGAAAAGAAAAGATGAGATGTATAAAATGAGCTTTATTTTCTGAGCACAAAGTATTTCAGCAAGTTTCCTTTTCTTATTTCTTGATCTATCCTGATGATAATGTAATGAGTGATAGCCAATTGGATGTTAGCAGTTCAGAAATCAACATCTGGATAGTGTTCATTCTTTTCAATACATATTGCCAGCCACCACAATGTCTTGGATTGTACTTTTTTGTAACTCGTACAATGAAAGGTCGTAAACTTTTGATAAATGCATCTGAATAGTTTATGCGATTAATAGACATAAGAAAACATAACTTGTTGAAATATCTATATGACAGGAACGGGTAACCCGAATAAGTAACCCGCCATAAGTTGTTGAACCGATCGGAATTTATATCAAGCCCCTAAGTTGATTATGACTGGGGGAGTGACTGATCGATCCAATTTTCAATGGCTTTTTCTTGTAATTATAACAAGCTGTGAACCATAATATGTAACTCAGTTGATCTAAATCATTTTTGCATTTGATTTAAAGTTAAATGTTTTGAGAGATCTAAACATAACGTCTGATTTTCAAAACTTTAGTTGATCGAGCAGTAGCGACGGGGCGAGGGGGGGGTCCAAACCTCTACAAAATTAGTTAACTATGATCAATTTCGAAGTGATTGTATCATTAACTTTTAATAATACTGCTTCCAGTGCTATTTTTTATTAGTTATGTTGTATTAAATATATTTTTTATACAGAGAGACAATCTGGAAACCGATTTCATAATAGTAATTAAGCGTCATTTATTAATTATACTTCTAAAAACGATTAGCCATTGATATTCCCACGACAAGAAGTAAGAACACAAAGACTTATACAAGTGAAGATTTAATCACCACCTAGTTTTATTTATTTTATTTTAACACATAGATATTGGTACAAGGAGGCACCAAATACATATGCGCCACACAAATCTCATTCGATATGTGTGAGGGCTGTGATACTGCCCGGGTGCCCAAACCGAAGTAGGTGGTTTTCTTAGGGGGCCACTCCCTGAGCCTTTGACCTAAAGGTCTGACTCACAAGGCAGTGGAGCATCATAAGGAGATGCAGTCCCATGGGAGCCGGTGACCAACAATTGGTTCATACGCCATTTGTTCGTTTAGGATACTGGAGCCCATGTGCACCATTGGTTTGGGATCCGGTTAAAGCGCCGGACATTCGTTTTTCGTCCTCTCATTTTTGTAAACACCCTCGCCACGAGAAGGCAGTGAGTAGGACTTCCCTGTTAGTGGCTATATACGCGTGGCCATATGAGAGCATTTCGAGAGGGAGAGCGGACTCTCCCCACTGTCGGCCGTACCAGGGCATTGACGTATATGTTGATTTGTATACCCATTCTGATTGTTAGTTAGTAACAAGTTACATGTATGAAAAATGTTTAGAATTATAACGAATTACATGCTGGATATCATGTTGAACATAGTTCACGTTAACTTAATACAAAGAATATCAAGTCTCGAATAAACATCAAACTGAAGTAAATCAAGCTCCCGAATGCCCCTGGTATGGCCGAGGGTGAGGAGAGTTCACTCTCCTTCTTGAAATGCTCTCACGTGGCCACACATATACAGCCACTGACAGGGAAGTCCTACTCATTGCCTTCTCGCTGCTGGGGTGTTGTTTACGAAATTGAAAGGACGAAAAGCGAATGTCCGGAGCTTTAACGAAGGCGGTGGATATGGAGGATCTACCTACGGGAGTTGGAAAACCCTCATTCCAAATTAATGATTCACATGGGTTCCAGGATCCCGAAGGAACATATGGCATATGAACGTGTGCTTGGTCACTGGCTACCATGAAACTGCATCTTCTGACGTTGCTCCACTTTCTTGTGGAATAGACCTTTTGGTCAAAGGCTCAAGGAATGGACCATTAATAAGATCACTTGTTTCTGTTTGTGCAACTAGGTAGTATTCCAGCCCTCACACAAATCATTTGATTTGAAATAAGTAAATAAATATTAGGAGTAAATCAATGTTATAGTGAATAAATTACGCTGGATAACCATTATATTAAATTAAAAACGGAAGTAATGTTGAATGAATAGTTACAATGAGTTAAAAATGTAATTTTGCCTCTGTTTTTTTTTTATCTCGTCATATCAATGATGTACTCATTCACCTATGAAACAAAATAAACCATGAAGTTTAAATCTTTTTTCCATGAGTTTTAATTAAAGTTTGAAGTTGGAATCAATAAACTTTGTACAATCACAGTGTCAAGTTCATCTATATCACAACTTCTTGTAGTGATTATTTATAATTAAAATAATGGATTTGTACAGTTTATTTCAATCATTTACATCACTAAGTCAACTTTAGAGACTGATCCAATAACAATAGTATTGTTATCTATGGGCAGAGATGGATGATGGCTAGTACGTTTCTTCTTATCCGGGGCTTGCCAGTTATATACATTTGCATGCCAGAATTGATGTTCACCCCGGGACTCGAACCCAGTACCGTTCGCCTCAAACGCCATCGCGTTTCCCACTTAGCTACTGAGTCCTGATAGCCACCTGCTTGTGCAATGTGGTCATCAACTATGGGATGCAGGTACATCCAGCTGACGAGTCCCGAATAGGATGAAACGCGTGTCAAACTGCATTCCACTGCTAGCCACTAACCATCTTTGCTTAAAACGCTTGTGACTTAAGACTTTATCGAGGCAATCCACACATGATGCACATATGCCAACATGAGACTGATCAATTGCAGTTCTAAATAACAATGGGAAGATACGAGTAAAACAACATCAAATGAACTTAGTAGATATAGTTAATAAAAAATAAAAATAAAAAAATCTAAAACTGAAAAATTTCTGGTTACAAAATAGTTTCCCAGAAGTTTGAACAGTCCTTTGTAGTAGTAGTACTACACTTAATCTACTTAACAACAATCCCTAATCAACTCTTGATATCATGTCACAATCATATAATGTTATTATCAATATAAACTAGATCAACCTTAAGAAGAGACTCTTAGATAATTTTTTCTGATACTGTTATAATTTGTAACCTATGTGCCCTGTTAGTTTAATAACGTAATGATACCGCCAATTAAAGAGCAGTGAATTATCTATCGCATGAAGGACGCATAAAACCCGTACGAGCAGTTTAGATTACTTATCGGTCCTGCTTCCTGCCTAACCCAGCCACTTAAGTCCAGAACGCAAATCTCAGCCTCTGCAATATGAATCATTTATTTCAAGCATACTGAGTTTATATACCAACCAGACAGACCACATCATACCAATAAAATAGAAAACAACATTTGTACAAGATCTAACCAAAAGAGGCTGTGAATATGGGAGGTAGTAAGAATAGTATTATAACAGTTCATAAGTCAAAATAAGGCTCACAATAAGAGGAACATGAATATGTATAGTTTAGTTGTTTAACAATTATACGTTAAAAATATACGTTTAGTATTGGTCCATAAATGGGTTCCAAAAGTTACCATTCATTATGCTTATAGGGATATAACAGATACTCACTGCGAAGGTATCATATTCTTTTTATGTCTGTTTTTCTCTTCTTTTTTTTTGTTTTTAGCCTCCCGATATTCCAAATGCTTTACCTAAACAAGTTGGAAATAAAACAGAATGTGCTTTATTAGGTTTTGTCAAATCTATTGGACGTAGCTATGAAGATATACGTACACAATGGAGTGAAGAACGTTTATATAAAGTGTACACATTTAATTCAATACGTAAATCCATGAGTACAGTTATTAAAGAATCAGATAATCCAATGTCATTTTTATTGTTTACTAAAGGTGCTTCAGAAATGGTTGTTAAATGGTAAGTAGTAAGTAGGTAATAATAATGTATATTATAACTTGAATATCTATTGCATAAGAGTTTATGTTTTTTGCCGACTATTGATACTTAGAACCACATTAGTTTGCTTTATGTTGGTTTATGGATTATTTGAGTAGATGCCTCAATAACTCCCCATAGTTACCACTGTTAACATGTTTCTTTTTTCAATGCTAACTATCAGTGGAATCTGGAATGTACGCTTAGTTTTTTTTGGTTTTGGGACGCTACATCAAAATTTACCACTGGTGTAATTTTCACATTAAGATTTGAACCTCAATATCCTTACCAACTGTGAATTTTAGCTGATGAGTCTTAAAGAAATAAACACACAACCTATTTGTTTTGTTGCTAGTCATTATTGATAATCAATAGTACTGTTACTCGAATTGATAAAAAAGTTAAAATGTATCTGTTTTTAATGACTAGATTATTGAAGATCTGGGGTTAGATCTATGATAGGTCAATGAATGCTTAGTGCTGACGAGTCCCATACTAGAACGAAATCTATGTCCAGTGCTAAATGGTTTTCACTGAGTGTCTAGCTAACAACAGTATTCTATGATGTAAACTACAATATTTGAAAGAAAATAATTGACCCACTACATCTGGACAAACGGCTTTAATTCAATAATTTGATGACAGTATGGTATAGGGAGAAGCTTAATACAACAGCGGCCGATTTCCAGCCAGTTCTTAGTCATTTAGAAAATAGCCTTCGGAATTAGATAGATTATGGAAAAGAAAACTGTAATATTACAAAGCGTAAACAGATTTTATATCAATGACAAATATATGTATATATCTCCAGGTTACTCTGTGTGTAAAGCTAAAAATGAACAACTTATTAACTCGTTCTTATAGATTGTCCATATTCTTGAACTCTTAAAAGGGTCCAAATAAATTTTTAGAAGTCCATATATTATTCCTAGTTGGAGTTAGGAGTTAAGGGTAAGGATTAATGATTTAGAGTTAAGATTTAGCATAATAGTTCCATAACTGTTGATTCACCTATTATGTGCAATATTAGTGTTAGGTCCCGATAAGCATAATGAATGGTAACTTTTGGGATCCATTTATGGACCAATACTATGCGTATATTTTTATCCTATAATTGTTATGTAACTGGACTATTCATATTCATGTCCCTCTTATTATGAGCTTTATTTTGACCTATGAACTATTTCGCAAGTTCATAAACGATAGATAGAATATAGCTAAGTAGATAACTCGTAAAGTATTAAGTCCGAATCTCGCAGTGAATATCAACTCTAGTGTGTAAGTGCATCTATCTAGGGAACCCCAAATTGGATTAAACATGCTTCCTAGATTCCACTGCCAACTACAATCTATTTATTTCATCAGTCAGTTACAATGTAGGACCAGGCACATACATGCATCGGTCCAAGTTGTTACACCTCATTAGCACAGCAAGATTTCGCCTTCGCACCTTGGGTTTGTTGCTTTTAGTCTTACCGCTCTTCAACCGACCTGTCTGGCATGGAAGGACCTTGAGGAACGATTGTTACAGCCACTGTGGCACAGTTGCTTCATTACGATGGACAAGTCCGACAGCGATGCTACCTTCGCACAAGGTATGGTGGGGTTAGAAAAGGTCGACCCTAAAAATATACACCTCACCTTATCCCACGGATATCCGTCTCCGGCGGCAAGGTCCCAACAAGTACGGAGCTAACGCGGAAACTACTCACAAAAAGGTCGTGTGTGATCAGTTTCAGATAGTTTTCTTTCGGGCACTACGGTCACGCTCTCAGGTTACTGTGACCACCTATAATCCAATTTTCTTTTCAGTTACCTCTAGAAGAACCCTTCCACGGTGTGGGCGACCGGGAAGTGATAATCGGTCTCATACCTCTAACAGCAATCAAGACCACTATATAAAAATCCTTCTACTGTTCATCATACTCGATTGACCAAAAGACTAAATGTTAAGTTTTCTATTTCTAATTACTTCATCTTTATCTCATAATTACATATTCCATAATTTCTATTAAGTAAATCTTATTTCACGAGAATAATTCAACTTCTTTGTGAATTTACCAAAATATCAATGAATATAAAGGTCCTTAAAATGGAATGATTTCTTTTTTCTTTTTTTTAATGGATAAAATAAACATTTCATCTGTTTAATCACTCATTGGACACAAATGGGCACAACTGTATAAAATCAATGATTTTACATCAATTATTCCTATTTCCATTGCTTTCTTTGTACATTAGCACCTTCTCCATTTCTACATAACATACACACACCCACACCCACATACATACATAGATACATACAGGACCTGAACACAGAGATAGGGAGAGACAGAAAATGCAATAAACTGATTTGCATTGTATATATCCTTATTACAATTTCATAAATGTCACCCCTTATATCTAACAACTTAACATTCTTATGTAATTATAAATTACCTATTTAAAAAAAAGATTAAATCTTTTTCTTTTATGCCTCCAGTCTATTAAAATTGATTATTAAGTAGATAGTGCAATTTAGGTTTTTGTACCTTTACTATGATAATCTATATATAAATTTATATTAAAAGGAAATTGACAGGAGACATTTCTGTTTTATTCTTGTTCTCTCTTGAAACGATAACTTCTTTGTTTGTTTCTTCTTCTTCTTCTTCATCATCATCATCATCATCATCATCATCATCAATTTGCATCATCATTTTAAATTTCCTTTTTATACGATAGAAATGGATTGTTCTTTGATTATTTATAAATAAGTTAATGAATTTTTAGATTATCTTCTATATGTTCCTTTGGTTATCTGGTTTATTTTTACTGTTTACCAGTCTATTGAAACTGGTAAATAGCCTCCAAATATCCTGGTACGGTTGAGAATGGGGAGAGTTCGCTCTTTCTCTCGAAATGCTCTCACATAGCCACGCGTATATAGCCTATGCCACAGAAATCCTACTCACTGCCTTCTCATTCCGCGGGTGTTGTTTGAGAAATTGAGAAGACGAAAAGTGAATGTCCGGCGCTTTAACTGGGTTGGTGGATATGTAGAGTCCACCTAGGGAGGTTGGAAAACCCTCATTCCAAACCAATGATGCACATGGGCTCCAGTATCCCAAAGGAACCAATGGCGTATGAACCAATTATTGATCACTGGCGACCATGAGACTGCATCTCCTTACGATGCTCCACTGTCTTGTGGATCAGACCCTCAGATCGAAGGTTCCGAGTGTGGCCCCCTAAGAAAACCACCTGCTTCGGTTTGGTCACTCGGTCAGTATCACAGCCCTCACACAAATCAAGTGACTTGTGTGGCGCATATATATCTGGTGCCCCCTTGTACCAATATCTATGTGTTCAAATAAAAAAATTTAAAAAAAATTAAAGTCTGTTGAAACCGAGTAACAATAGTTGGTAAACAGAAAGCTCATTGGATGTCTATCATGTGGTTGTAATATTTGACCATGCACTATGAGACCTAATGATCTTGAGTCCGATTCCTGGTGAGACCAGGGGTACCCACTGTTGAGGAGTCCTATATTAAGATGAAACAGTTGTCTGATCCTTCTTGATTTTCAATCGTACCCTAATGAACATCAAACCTGTAGGGAATACAACCAACGGATTAAAGCAGTCTCCACAAAGCCCCTTCAACTACTGTATTGAGTTTTTATTTGTTCTTAATATAGGGTTTCTCATTAGTGAAGATTAATGCATTCTCCCCTCTCTCTCAACTTTCTTAAAAACACATAGCTGGGATCGTGTCCTGTTTATTAAAATAGAACAAAACGCGCTCTAAATTTTGACGCTAGTCACAGTCCATCTATAGGTATCCACTTGCCCGTAGTTCTTATTTGTTTCTTAATATAATTGAGTTATCTATCTTACTGCCCTTAAAATAATTAACTACTCATGTAACTTATTTTTTTTAAAACCCTTCAATCTATAAGTTGTTCTTGGATGATGGATGAACAAAATAAACCAAGACCATTCAGTCTACAAGATCAAGAACGTTTAACTGAAGCAGTGATTGAACCAATGGCAGGTGAAGGTCTTCGAACCATTGGCATAGCTTATAAAAAAATTACAATAGGTAAGTACTCTCATACCTCTTATGTGTGTGTGTGTGTGTGTGTGTTTCGATCTTTGGACACTTATATTGTCTTTGTTCGTTAGCTTTTGGGAGAAGAAAATCTGAAAGAATGTCGTAATTAGAAAGTTTTAAGAAGAAAAAAACTGCTCATATCTTAAGAACGTCATCATATCTGTTATAATTTGGATTTTACCAAATTGATTTGCATATTTCCATTGACAACATAATAAATTATGTAATAGAATTATTCCAATCATTTAACAGAGATCTGAAATGAAAATTATTTGCCTCATTGAATCACTACTTAAAATGTATAATTTAACTACTTCCTATGAGTTTCTAGTTTTATCAGCTGATGAGTTTACTACAATCAATCAGTTGTAAGCAACATAGATTCTGGGATATACTCATCGGTTCAACTTGTCACATTACAAATTATCACACTAAGGCGAGATTATTACGACAAATACTAATGTAATGAAAGTAGCGATAGTATTAGTAGTAGTAAGAAAGATTGTGGTGTATGCTACTTATGTTGGTAGATATAATTAGTATGTCACATCAATCAGAAGTGGATTGCCGGCGAGCGGAATATTAGGAAGAGATGTGAGAAAACTGAAAGCAATCAAAACAACAACAGGAATAAAGAACCTGCATGATTGTGATCAATTCTAAGACATGTCACTACATGCCTCCATACATTGACTACAATAATTACGCGGAGACCCCCAAATGCTCCCGGTATGGTGAAAGGTGGGGAGAGTCCGCTCTTCTTCTCAAAATGCTCTCACGTGGCCACGCGTATACAGCCACTAACAGGGAAGTCCTACTCATTGCCTTCTCGCAGCTGGGGGTGTTGTTTACGAAATTGAGAGGACTAAACGTGAATATCCGAAGCTTTAACGAAGGCGGTGGATATGGAGGATCTACCTACGGGAGTTGGAAAATCCTCATTCCAAATTAATGATGCATATGGGCTCCAGGATCCCGAAGGAACATATGGCATCTGAACGTGTGCTTGGTCACCGGCGACCATGAAACTGCATCTTCTGACGTTGCTCCACTACTTTGTGGATTAGACCTTTAGATGAAAGACTCGAGTAGTGTCACCCTGCTTAGGTTTGGGCACCCAGGTAGTATTCTAGCCCTTACACAAGTCGAATGATTTATGTAGCTCATATATATTTGGTGCCTCCTTGTACCATTGTTTGTTTGCTTAAATAAGTAAATAACCAAGTAATCTTCATCTGCCTACATGGCTTTTAATTGTTTTCTTTCCTCGTTCATTGTTATACATTTCTTGTTAGCATTGACTTTTGTTTAATTATATTTTTCATCTATATTGAATGCAGCTACAAATTCAAAAAGTCCGAATGATATGATTGTACAAAGTGAACCGAATTGGGATGATGAAGAACATTTATTAGAAGGTCTTACTTTATTAGGTATTATTGGAATTGAAGATCCAGTTCGACCAGAAGTACCAGCTGCTATACGTCAATGTCAAAAAGCCGGTATCACTGTACGTATGGTAACTGGTGATAATGTAAATACAGCACGATCAATTGCAATGAAATGTGGTATTATACAACCAGGTGAAAATTTTCTTGTTATTGAAGGTAAAGAATTTAATCGACGTATTCGTGACAAAGCAACTGGTAAAGTTAGACAAGATTTATTTGATCAAGTGTGGATTAATTTAAGAGTATTGGCTAGATCTTCACCTCAGGTAAGTTTTTTTTCTTTGGTGTGTGTGTGTTACATAGAAATTTGTTGATTTATGGCTATGAAACACATCCCTTTAATGTAGAAGATATTCCTAGGTTACTAGTATTCAGTCGAAGGGATATCCGAAGTATTACTCGTATATTTTGGAACCATCGAGTTAGAAATTCTGAGGTTAGACGCAGATTACTAGATATGTATGGTTAATTGATCGACGAGTTGGTGAATCCTTATTAACTGAGATGATTAATAAATGTATTACATTTGCTTATCCACCTACTACCTTGACATCCAATCATGACTGTCATAGAGTTGGTTGGAAAAAGAGAGCGCTTCAATCAAACCATGGCATCAGTCTGTGAAGACATTAACCATTGGACTGAATCATGTAGGTAGTTGTAGATTGCTTGTTCATGGTTCTGATGATTAACATAACCAATAGTTAGAGACCTTAAGTGATATTTCTCAAAATCATTCACAATAGTTCACATGCATTCACTCTTTGTCTTCACAACTATCTCAGTTCTTTATTAATGATTTTCGTTTTATTGTAGTAACCCATATTTCCTCCTTGAATCGTATCTTCAATGATTAATCATTTCTATTAACACGGATACTCTTATTAACTCTATTATTCTGGAATTCGCCATGGCAACTGGTAACTTGAACTGATGTATCCATATTTCAAGTTCTACTCTTATTAACTCTACTATTCTGAGATTCCCCTTTACAATTTCATATTATTGTATTAATGTGGTATGGCAACTTAAACTTATGTATATACGTTCCAGGTTTTACATCGCGTTCAACTGACTGACTGACGAATGAAGTGAATGTTGTCTTTTGATGTCACCTTCTATAATGGCTGATGATGTTGCTCAGGGTGTTAATAAAATATTCGTAACTATGGATAACCTATCATAGAGAGAATCCAGTAACATTATAATTGACATCTTACTGATAGAAATAAATTATTTTAATTGTTCAATTATAATAATATCTTAAATATTTTTTGATTGAGATCATGAACCGATTGATGTTAGACCACCATTGAGAACCTGAAAGCACTGGACGGCCGTTTCGTCTTATTGTGGAACTCCTCAGTGGCAGTGCACATCCACAACCCCACTCGTGGGGTTCGAACCCAGGGCCTTCAGTCTCACGCGTGAACGCTTAATCTACTGGACCACTGAGCCGGCATCCAACGGTGTTAATGTCTAACTTCAACCAATCCACAAAATTCCGTGACCATCTTCTATTGTACTGAGGTAAATACCTGTCTCTAACCGACACGGATTAGCTCCACTGGTCACAGCTTCTTACTAGAACTCCGAGAATTACCTCTCAAAACTAGTCACTAGTGAGCACTTGGTAATTATCAGTTTGGAGTTGTGGAATTTTTTCCGATGTTTGTTTCTTTAATAATACTTTTTTTCACGAATGTAATATGTTGGTAGTAGCGATAAGATTTCAATCCTGATATGTTTGTTATCGGTTGATACAACTAACACAGCTGTTTCTCTGTGTGTGTGTGTGTGTTTGTGTTTGTCTCTATGCCCCAACAAGTATTCATAAATCAGTTAATCATATTTCAGTATGATAGTTTGTTATTTATTGAATTCATTACAAAAATATGGTAATATTTCTGTCCCTTAAAGACAAAACTGTATCACTGATAGGTTCTGTTAAGTTTGATTCTTATAGAAATGTGAAAATATAAGATAAAACATGAAGGACTTACTTATTTACCTTAAGTTGTGTATTCATTCACAAGAAAAGCATAGATAACTATACATCTCCAATGTATGTATGTATGTATGTGTGTGTATGTTGTATCTGTATTATCTCTAGCTGCCTGTCAAGAGAATACAAGTTGTACATGTTGATTAAACTAAAAATGGGTCTAAATATGGTTCCTAGTAATGAAACAAAGTTTATTCAACGTTAGCAAAATAATAAACACATTAGTATCAGAATGGGTTTTGTGGAGAGTTTTAGAAATTTCACAGGTTGAAATCATGAGTCAGTTGAAGCTAGACCACCATTGAAAACCTGGAAGCAATGGACGGCCGTCTCGTCCTGGTATGGGACTCCTCAGCAGTGCGCATCCACGATCCCGCACCATGCGGGGCTCGAACCCAGGACCTACTGGCTTCGCGCGCGAGCACTTAACCACTAGACCACTGAGCTGGCATCCAACGTTGTTAATGTCTAACTTCAACCAATCCACGAAGTTGCGCCACCGTACACCATTGTCTTCAGTGAGTTGTTATCTCACAACGGACCGGTTGAACTCCACTGGTAACGGCTTCTCACTAGAACTCCAGGAGCTTTTCTTGAAGTCAGTCACTAATGAGCAGTTGATTATTATCAGAATGGGTTTTGTGGAGAGTTTTAGAAATTTCACAGGTTGAAATCATGAGTCAGTAGGTCCTGGGTTCGAGCCCCGCATGGTGCGGGATCGTGGGTACGCACTGCTGAGGAGTCCCATACCAGGACGAAACGGCCGTCCAGTGCTTCCAGGTTTTCAATGGTGGTCTAGCTTCAACTGACTCATGATTTCAACTTGTGAAATTTCTAAAACACATTAGTAACTAATATCCTCATCGTCATCAATATTCTTAAAGACAGACATTATATTACCACCTAATGAATTGAACAGTTGGAAAAATGTAACACAAAAGGAATTCTATGCAGTTTATGTGTAAATTAAAAAATTCAGTTGATCTGATTAAACCAACTATTCTAATCTAATTTGTAATGGTGTTTTTTGTTGTTGTTTGGATTATCATCCCTTTATTGATATTTTGACTTAATTTTGATTATTATCAGAAGGGGTTAGACATTAACACCGTTGTATACCGGCTCAGTGGTCTAATGGTTAAGTGCTTGCGCGCGAAACCTACTGGTCCTGGGTTCGAATCCCGCGGGGTGCGGGATCGTGGATGCGCACTACTGAGTAGTCCCATACTAGGACGAAACGGCCGTCCAGTGCTTCCAGGTTTTCCATGGTGGTTTAGCTTCAATTGACTCATGATTACAATCTGTGAAAAAATTGATTTTGATTAGTCCTAATTAGCGTGTGTACATCTTGTGCCGATTGTTTTATCATAAGTTCATATAGAACAAATGTTACTATCTGAATTCAGTAGCTAAGTAAACAATTCGTTAAATGTTTGAAACGAAAGGTACTATGTTTGAATCCCAGAGTGAATATGAACTCTAGAATACAGATACATCGAGTTGACATGTCTTAAATAGGATAAGTCGCGTGTCCTGGATTCCAATGCTAACCACAATCTATCTATTCTATACTAAATAATTATTCACTATTTTTATTGTGGAAATTAATGGTAATCCTTTCTCTTTCTCATTCACTCTCACATATACATCTCTGTTTTCCTCTTTCTTCTTCTTCTTCTTCGGTTATCTGCCTATTTTTCCTTGTTTGTTTATCATTGACAGAACTTGTCACCTTAAATTATTGATTATTAAGTCAATTATAACTACACGAGTATGTGTTTGTAATACACGAGGACACGATAATAAATATGGTCTCGTAGGGAACATCTAACCATTAGGAACACTGAGTCAATGTTTAATGATACAACATTTACTTCAATGAATTCTCAACATAACTGAATGATTATCTAATAACTGAAATCCATCTATAATGAATACAATCTTTAAAATAAACCAATATTTTTCGATTGAGATCATAAACTGATTGATGTTAGACCACCATTGAAACCTGGAAGCACTGGACGGCCGTTTCATCCTATTGTGGGAATTCTCAGCAGTGCGCATCCACAATCGGAGTTCTAGTGAGAAGCCAGGACCAGTAGAGCTAATCCGTGTCGAGTGGAGACAGGTATCTACCTCAGTACGATAGAAGATGGTCACGGAATTTCGTGGATTGGTTGAAGTTAGACATTAACACCGTTGGATGCCAACTCAATGGTCTAAAGGTTAAGCGCTCGTGCGCGAGATCGAAGGCCCTGTGTTCGAATCCCACGAGTGGGATCGTGGAGGAGTTCCACAATAGGACGAAACGGCCGTTCAATGCCTCCAGGTTTTCCATGATGATCTAACTTCAATTGACTGATAATCTCAACTATTAAAATTACTGTAATTCAATTGTTTTAGCAAAATGTAAAACGTAAAACATATTTCAGTCAATTACTGCTAACATGATAATTTCATCTCCACATTAAGTATTTATGTGTTAAATATTACCTATCTACACATGTAAACACATCTATGTATTACATACTTACTTATTATCATCATCATAAGTTTACTTATCATTACGACCCGTTCTGAAAATTAGATCAAAAATTTTTTTTCTCAATAACATCAACTCAACGAACTAATATTTACACTGTAATACAACATTGTATTATTTACACAGTTAGATTATTATACAACAGTTGAATAGACGAATATACAATGTGTACTACTACTACTACTACTACTTACCGTTTATTAGTATTATTATTATTATAACTGTTACCAATACTACTATTAACCGTTGTGATTAGTGATAATCATGATAAGTAAGTAAATGTAACTGATTAATAAAAATGAATACAATGATTAACATTAGTCTAATTTTAAGACATAAGAATTTGGATTTTTGAAAAGAAGTACTCAACTCATTATTTCAATCATTCATTTACATTCTACTGAAATCAGTAGTATCGTGTATGTGTGTATATAAATGGGTTAATATTTGTACATATGTATTAGTGTGATTGTTGTATAAAATAAACATTTAATTGGTAACTAAAATTAACAGGGTGGATAAAAATGTACACTGGTATTTTTTACTTTGTTCTTGTTAAGTGTACACACTTTATTTAGAATATAAGTTTTCAATATGAATGAATTGTATTCATTCTATTCATCAATAACATTGAATCAATATGGATACATCAGTTGAAGTTACCAGTTGTCAAGGCGAATTCCAGAATAGTAGAATTAATAAGAGTATTCGTATTAATGGAAATGATTAATCATTGAAGATACGATTCAAGGAGGAAATATGGATTAGTAGAATAAAACGAAAATCATCAATAAAGAACTCAGATAATTGTGAAGACAAAGAGTGAATGCATATGAGCTATTGTGAATGATTTTGAAAAATATCACATGAGACTGATCAATTGCAGTCTTAAATAACAATGGGAACATACAGGTAAAACAACACCCAAGTGAATTTAAACTTCACCCCATGGCACAAGCAGGTGGCTATCAGGACTCAGTAGTTAATTGGATAATGCGATGGCGTTTGAGGCGAACGGTACTGGGTCCGAGTCCCGGAATGAGCATCAACTCTGGGATGCAGGTACGTACAGCTGACGAGTCCTGAATAGGACGGAACGCGTGTCAAACTGGATTCCACTGTTAGCCACTATCCATCTTTGCTTAAAACGCTTGTGACTTAAGACTATATCGAGGCAATCTACACATGATGCACATATGTCAACATGAGACTGATCAATTGCAGTTCTAAATAACAATGGGAAGATACAAGTAAAACAACATCAAGTGAATTTAATATCACTTAGTTTCCAACCGCTTGGTTATGTTAATCATGTGAACCAAAAACAAGTAATCTACATCTACTTACATGATTCATTCTAATGGTTAATGTCTTCATTGAACTGATGTATTTTTTCTAGTTAACCAAAACTGGAATATAATTGACTTCTTTGATTCCCACTTAGTAGTTGCTACTGCTACATAATGGCAACACACCAATTATAATATCTTCCATAATATAATTACAAGAAGAAAGAATAAAATGGTAGATCCTATTTCCAGAAGTATTTGAAATTTCAGTATCATAACGAACTAAAGACTGTTGATCTCGTGCGCGAACGCTTAACTGAGCTTGGATCCAACTATGTTAATGTCTAACTTCAGTCAATCCGCGACCATCTCCCATTGTCTTTGGTGGGTAGCTCCCCCACACCTGATATAGTTTAGTTCGGCTGACCATTTGCATGTCTTTTAGTGATGTGAGGTATGAATAAGACTAAATCTGTGTATATTTAGATAAATGGTCCATTTTGGATCGACATTCATGTCTTCCTTTCTGCTCAGTTCAATGAGGTTTCTAAATATGTTAACAGTTGCAACCAATTACCTTTCTTTATGATTGGAAAAACATTTTTGAATTATTCTGATATTATTACTACTTAAGCTTACTTTTTATGCATCCACTATTGACTTTTGTTCACTCGTTGAGTTAATATTGTTTTATTATTATGATGATGATTATCAGTAACTATGACTTCACCACCTGCCTCCTTTCACCATGATTAGTCACTCAAGATACAAACCAAACTTAAAGATTACTATATATTTTGCGTTATTCCTTTTCATTCTGTGCTTTTCTGTTTCGTTTTGAGCATTCAAATCAATTTTAAAGTTTGTGAGGAGACCTTGGTTCGTAATCATACTACTATTCGTAGTGATAAACCGGTGTACACTTGATTGATAAGATGTTTTCAAATAAGGCTGATATGGAACGATTGAACGTAATTAACATGAAATCATCCTTCACCTATGTTGGCACTCATCAGCAAAGTATATCTGTAATTTCTAAGGAACTGACACCCAGTGTGAAACTTGAACTTGTGTAACTTAACTTCTCAATCTGAAACGTTATGAATGGGGTTATTCGAGCCATAGATCAAACCAATGATGATGATTTTATCTGGATCCTACTAATCATTCGGTTGTTCATACTTTGTTGAACATTAAGTTATCTGTTATGAATACATTTGATTTTATTTCTAATCACTTGTTATTAATAAAAGAGATTTAAATTTCACATAAATATATATATTTGTTTCTTTAATAGGATAAATACACATTAGTCAGTGGGATAATTAACAGTCGTGCAGCCCCGTCACGTCAAGTAGTCGCTGTCACTGGTGATGGTACAAATGATGGTCCAGCGTTGAAACGTGCAGATGTTGGTTTTGCAATGGGTATAGCTGGTACAGATGTAGCAAAAGAAGCATCCGATATTATATTGACAGATGATAATTTTTCAAGTATTGTTAAAGCTGTTATGTGGGGTCGTAATGTATATGATTCAATTACAAAGTTTTTACAATTTCAATTAACTGTAAATTGTGTGGCAATTATTGTTGCATTCGCTGGAGCATGCTTTTTAGATGTAAGTTAAAGTTATGTCAGGGAATTTGACACAGGACATCTTGTCTTGCACATAAATTTTTAAACTACAAATCACTAGTTTAGCATTTAATCCTATACGTATTTAACATGAATCAATTCACAATATTTCATAACCTTCCATTGTCTGCGATGGATAACTGTCTCATATCCGACATGGTTGAATTCCACTGGTCATGAATTCTCACCAGAACTCCAAGAATTGGATCTTAAGGCAGAGTTGTGGATGAACACTGCTAAATAGTCTCATCCTGGAAAGAAATAGCTATTCAATACCTCTTGGTTTCTACTAATATTCAATCTAAGATCATTTTGTCATTTGAATTACGAAAATTCTACAATCTTCACGAAACCTCCTACAAATTATACTAAGATTATAGTTGGACATTTAATATTAGTACTACTTATTCAGGGAAGTCCTACTCACTACCTTCTCGTGGCGGGGGTGCTGTTTACGAAATTGAGAGAACGAAAAGCGAATATCCAGTGCTTTAACCGGGTTTTCGGACATGGAGAGTCCTCCTACAGGAGTTGGAAAACCCTAATTCCAAACCAATAATGCACATGAGATTTGTGTGGCGCATATGTATTTGATGCCTCCTTGTACCAATATCTATGTGTTAAAATAAAAGTAAATAAATAGCCATTTCAAAATGATCATGTTTCATAGACAAGAAATATAAACAATCTATTTTCTTCCATTTAATATCAGTCTAATTCATTGTTTATATAGCTTAAGTAAATAATGTAAAGTATAAAAGTAAATCAATTATTCACTTGGTATTGTTTGGCTTGTATCTTCCCATTGACGTTTAAGACTGCTGACGAGTCCCAAATAGGACGAAACACGCGTCCTGGATTCCACTGCTAGCCACTATCCATCATTGCTTGTAAATCAATTATGTTGTATTCCTGCATAATCTAATTTTCTCTTAGATTCTGTCTTGTTACTTTAATGAAACATTTGATTTTCTTCTTCATATGTTGTAAACACACTTCGATGAATTACTACTAGGTGGTAATGTATTGACTGGATTGTTTTTTTTTTAATTTTCCGGTTTTACATTTAATTCCTATTTCATTGATTGATTTCAAGTCAATTAGTGGAATGACTTCAATTAAGCTGAATAGTTCTTTCATATTGTACATATGTATTAGAAATCTTATTGTTAATCCTATATTTATTTATTCATTTTAACACATAGATATTGGTACAAGGAGGCACCAAATACATATGCATTACACAAATCTCATTTGATATGTGTGAGGGCTGTGATACTGTCCGGGTGATCAAACTGAAGTAGGTGGTTTTCTTAGGGTCCACACTTAGAGCCTTCGACCTGAAGGTCTGATCCACAAGGTAGTGGAGCAACGTAAGGAAATGCAGTCTTATGGTAGCCGGTGACCAATAATTGGTTCATACCCCATTTGTTCCCTCAGGACACTGGAGCCCATGTGCACCATTGGTTTGGAATCCGGTTAAAGCGCCGGACGTTCTCTTTTCGTTCTCTCAATTTCGTAAACAATACTGTCGCCACGAGAAGAGCATATTAGTTGTTTTACATAGAATAATTTAATCTTGTGTAGTTCTAGGATTCATTGAAGCTCTGCTATTGTACATACCATATAACGTATTCATGTAAAGTGATGATAACAACTAATGACGATTTCAGTCAACATTTTTCTGATCTAATTACAAATTGGTTTCGTTTATAGAAATATTCATCAATAATTCGAATGTTTCGTCCAGCAAACTTGTCTTGACGAAATGTTTATTTACTTACTTACGCCTGTTACTCCTAATGGAGCATAGGCCGCAGACCAGCATTCTCCAACCCACTCTGTCCTGGGCCTTCTTTTCTAGTTCCATCCAATTCTTGTTTATTGTTCTCATGTCTGTCTCCGTTTCATGGCGTAATGTATTCTTCGGTCTTCCTCTTTTTTTGGCCTTGTGTATTCCATGTGGGGGCTTGTCTTGTGATGCAGTTGTGGCTTTCCTCAATGTGTATCCTATCCACTTCCAACGCTTCTTCCTAATTTCTTCCTCCGCTGTGATCTGGTTTGTTCTCTCCCACAGTAGGCTGTTCCTAATAGTTTTAGTAAATTTTTAATTATATTCATAATAGAATAATTAAATTCGATGATGTTTGGTGTGTACCAATGTGGTATATGCTACTTATGTTTGTTGATATAAATAGTATGTCACATCAATCGGAAGTAAAAAACCTAGAAGCAGAAGGTTAAGAAGATCAAGTTGAAGAGAATAGAAGTGAACATAGATTAGAATTGTTGACTGGAAGAATCATACAGAATGTGAAGTACAAATGATGGGAATTTGCAAATGAGGTATTCGTGCAATTAGTTCCGTTTATGAATTTAAATAAAGCCAGAACAAATATTGATTCTTCTGATAAATTCATGGTTTCATCGCTCTTCACAAATATCCCCTTGGAAGAAACAGCAGAGATCATACGTGAATATCCTGAACTTCTGCCTTTACCAATCCATGAATTTAAACAGCTCCTATTTTTGTGTATAAAAAAAAACAATTTAAACTCAAAAATGTGTTGTACCGTCGAATTGTTGGAGTAGCCCTTTAGGCCCAATTCTGGCCGACATATTTCTGGGAAACCTGGAAGAGAAAAAGCTTAAGCACGTAATCGATGGTACCACACTCTATTGTAGATACATTGATGACACATTTCTTGTCTGCACCAATCGCAAGCACTCCATGAACCTACTCAGTCTGTTTAATAAAACACATAAGGATATAAAATTTGCTATGGAAGTATGAAGTTGAAGGTAAATTCCATTTCCTAGATATTGGAATCAGACGAACATCAGTTGACTTTCTGCATCAATATTTGTTCTGGCTTTATTGAAATGAAGTATTCAGTGTATGATTCTTATATTTTAATAACGGATTCTGTAATTTTGTATTTAAATACAATCGATTATCTCTACCTGTGTTCTCGTTCACTACACTATTACTGAATAAATTTAGAATCAGAGAAATTCATGCTCTAGAACGATCGATAAAATTAATGTCTGTACAACAATTCGAATTTATTAGTTTACACTAGATGATCAGATTCAAGCTGAATGGAACTTTGGTGATGGGACATTTTCTTTTCTGAGAAATTACTTTGAGAAGATAGATTCTGATAGAGAAGATTTATATTTTGGATGGATGACTGAATTTGAGTTTTCTGAGCCCGAATAATTTAATTGTGAATTTTTTCTTATCGTCCTTCTAGATGGATACCATTATCAACCCAAGAACTTCGTCATTGTCTGTTCACTTATTTTGATTATCATTTAATTTAACCCGATTCCATGATCTCAAAGCTGTTTAATATTTTCCTACTTGGTGGATACATCGAACCTATTTCATCAATATTTTTAAAAGACTACTGGGTGATCTTAATCTTAAGCCTCTAGAAAACATCCAATCTTCTTTGTTTTGTCTCCATCCAAGATTTCAACGTTTACTCAGACGGTTTTGCGCTGGCTACTGTCTAATTGCATTGAAATAGGAGAGAATATCTAATGACGTTCAGAAATCCCTGGTGAGACTATAATTTATGGACGACATTTGAGCGACTCCAAAGTGACCTTGAAGGTGTCCACCTACTAACTAGGATTAAATGTGAGCTATAAAGTAATGTGAGGAATTAGAATTATGGTTTACAGTTGATGGTTAGGGTTGGAAATTAGATTTAGGGTTATCAACACGAACTGATATCAGCTATAATGCCAAAACGCTATTTAGCTGAATGGATGAATGAATTTCGCCCCAAGATCCAAGACCTGTTATCTTAAATTTGGTTGGTCTCGCCACACTTCTTTCCACAATTGTTCCGTTGTTTTGTTTAATTCTATTTTTTCAATCTATTATACTGATTCGTTTATTGTATATTTTTTGTTCTTATTCCCTTACCCCATTTCCCCTCCCTCTTCCAATAAAATACTTGTAATCATTTGTAGGATAGTCCATTGAAAGCTATACAAATGTTATGGGTCAATTTAATTATGGATACATTGGCTAGTTTAGCATTGGCTACAGAGCAACCATCAGTGGAATTATTAGATCGTGCACCATATGGACGTACTCAACCATTAATCAGTAGACAAATGGCTAAAAATATCTTAGGTCATTCTTTATATCAATTGGGTGTTATATTTTTCTTATTATTTTATGGTAAGTCAATTTGATTGGTCGAAAATAAATACATATGTCCTTGAATCATGTGATACTATTGGTTGATAAAACTTGAAAGTCTGGTCTATTATTGATATACCGACGTGATCAGCTGATTTTTTTTTGTTGTCAACCCACGTTGACACTCCTAACTAGGCTAAGAAATAATATTAAACGAGTTTGGACACATGTTTTTATATATCCCGATGGAAATTCTTAAATTCACTTTAGTATTTGTAAGTTGATATCTTGTTGATATCAAAGGCCTTCAACATATATACTTCCTGAGCTAATTACCTTCAATTGTTTATATTTTCTTTTAAATAACTATTCATAGTAGTGCATAGTTACATGTTTAACAATTAGACGCTTTATAACTGAGACTTATACATCATCATATTGTCATTGCACATAGTCAAATATGTTAAGTGGTGAACCTGGAAGCACTAGATGACCGTTTTTTTTCCTAGTGTAGAACTACTAATTATTGCGCATCTACAACCTTATAGGCGAGAGTCGAACTCAACACCTTCGATCTCGTGCGCGAACCCTTAATGAAACGGCCATTCAACTCTTTCATGTCTTCATCGGTGACCTAACTTAGATGAATTCATGATTTTAATGAACTTCAAATTCAACAGCCTTCTCAGTTTTAACAAGTTTTTCTAATCTCGAATTATAAAGAATTTATTTGAAGGATAACAGTTGTATCCTTTTTTATTAAAGCTATGACCAAAGTAAAACATATCATTAGTTCATGAAATCATTAACTGTTAGTTTGAGACATATTGGCTGATGTAAATTAACTTGCTTACAGTCCTCGCAACTATCATAAACAATTTTCAGAGTTGTTAGGTGACACTGCTGAAAATCGATCATAATTACACAAACATCTTCCTTTAAATATTAAACTTTAAAATTATCTTGTACTTCTTATTCTATTAACTCATTATATCTTCTCGAATCTTATTATCTACGTCAAATATCTCCTACTTCTACTGCTAACTACTACCTACCTACCTAACGATAGTAATAATGGTAATAATCTGGCATTTATCTTGATATGGTGATTTATAGTATGATAAACTTGAATCGATACACATATACACCAGATTCTACGTTAGTTTTTAAGTGATCAATTCTTTCTCAATAAATAAAGTTATATCTTATTCTAATCATTTCCCCATCCAATTTTTGTTATTCTCTCTCTCTCTTTCTCTCTCTCTCCCTTTTCCTTTAGTTCAATTAATAATGGAAGTCGATAATGTATCGGGGATAACAGTACATGAACCAACACAACATTATACTATAATATTTAATACTTTAGTATTAATGACATTATTTAATGAATTTAATGCAAGAAAAATTCATGGACAACGTAATGTATTTAGTGGTTTACATAGAAATCCATTATTTATTATAATTTGGTTTGTAACATTTTTATTACAAGCATTAATTATACAATTTGGTTCATATGCATTCAGTACAAAAGCATTAGAATTAGATCAATGGGCTTGGTGTTTATTCTTTGGTGTTGGTGAACTTGTCTGGGGTCAGGTATGTGTTTAGTTTAATCAACAATACTAATAAAGGCCATTATTATTATTATCATGAATGGTGGTGATGTAATTACTTTTTTGTCAGTTCGCTGTTACTTGTTGTCTGCCGAAAATCTCTTCCTCAGTCAGTCAGTCAGTAACAATGTAGAACTTCGTGTGTACGTATACCAGTTCGAGTTGCCATACCACATTAGCACAGAGATGCAGTTGTCGATTCAAATCCCATAATGGTAGAGGTAGAAAGAGTATAAGCAGTAACCGGAATGATTAGGATTTGAAGATGTCATTCAAGGAGTATAATCCAGTGAAATAAACTTGGACAGAGAAAAAAAGGGACAAGAATAATTTAGAAATATTAGAATTTGGGAGAACACAAAGAGTGGATGCACCTGAGCCATTGCAAATGATTTTGAGCCATGTCATTCAATATCTCTAACTATCGATTGCTATCATCTCGCGGATCCCAACCAGTTAGTCTACATCTACTAACATGGCTCAGTTCATGTTTATTCGTTAGTTGACACTCACCATCATGAAGAAGTGAAGAACTAATCCTTCATCCTGTGTGATCCGAACCAGAATCAATGTCACTTAGCTTAAGGGCTTGAGGTACTACCAATCAACTATCTGTTCCCTCGATTGACCTGCTGCAGGACTGAAATAGTCACGTAATAGTGATCAGTGACATGTTTATTTAGTCCTTAATGGTTGATCCAATATCCTATTGATCAAGTTCTTGTTGGCAACAAGGTTGCGTTGTAAACTATATCATTATCAGCCTCAACCATTGAAAACTTGGAGTAATAAATAAGAAATATATTTAACAAACTACTCTAAGTTCATAACGTAAGAATAGAAGAGCTTAAAGTTTTAGAAATTGTGAGAATGTGAACATATTTCCAACTGATGAGTATAGACATCAATCTAAGGCTGATAATCCATCTATGAATGATAATGTATAACAATTGAAATGTATTCAATCAAAACACTTGATAACCACATTTAGGATCTGGAACAAACTTGTCAAAACACAAAAAAATATTAAGAAACAATCAATAACAAATGAAATGGAATAGGTTTTTTCTCCGTTAGTTTTATGACAAATCAAAATGAAACAGATCAACTATCCCTTTGCAAACAATTCTTCCAATCCCTGGAACCCTCAAATATAACCTTTTTGATGTTGTAGCCTGTTTTTATTACAAGTTGTTATTAATCGTAACTCACATACAGAGAGAGACACAGAGGAAGAATCTTCGTCATTACTACAAAACTACACTCAACTGTAATATCTAATAGTTAATGAAAATGAATGATTATGTGTACACAATCATCATCATGTTGTAATAGTAGCCTTATTATTACTTACTAACACAGTATTTTTATGCTTAAAGCTCTACCTATAAGATATATTGGAGAGATCCAGAGAATCCCTCGAAAAAAGCCCAAGAGAGCCTTGAAAATGCTAGAGAACATTTTATCCAATCAGCACTCAATAGAAGTTTCTCGGACACATCTAGAAAGTGAAGAATTATGTGTCACATTTCTAATTGGATGATTACTTATACTGCTACTATGTTTAGTGTAGGGTTCCAGAACTTTTCAAAAACCTAATCCCATCTGAAATGTTATAAATACCCTAAATTTTCTGTACATAAACGGAACCTTGGAGTAAAGCATTTTTTTTCATATTTAGCACCTTTTCTCGTGTTCAAGTTGTCGTGTAGATCTAGCCTGGAGTTATTACAATAGCTTAGGAAACCGATTAAAGCTTTCTGTCACAAGGTTTATCAACCTACTAATTCCTAAAATGAAAAGGGGGTCCATGTACTGTTGAACTTTTAAAACATTCACTCTTTCACCGAGGACATAGTGGTCAGAGCATTCAGCTTTTTTGACTATTGCTTACATTTTGTCGTATACACATACATAATTCTTTAATCCAATGGGGTGGGATATTATGGATTAATCATGTGTTGTAATAGTATCAGTCAAGCTTTGCTTGACACTCTTATTCGTGTATCATATAAAGAAAACTACTATATCGAAATTGATTTGAATAGTTACAATCTAGACTCAGCGTCATGTTAATGAGGTATGGCAACTTGGACCGATACATATATATGCCTGGTCCTATGTTATAGCTGACTGACTGACTGACTGAAATTCAATGTCAAAAATGATTACATAAAATCGATTATTATCAATAGTGGGAGCCCTAATGAAATCCAATAAATGTCTAGTGTTCTCCATTTACATCTTGATGCACTTCAAGGCCAATTATTGTTTTCTTAAGGTATTGATAATGGCAGTGGTGTAATGATAAGACCATGGTTTTATAGCTGTTTTTGTCTTAGTTGATTATTGCATTGACATCTATATAATTATATTTCCTATAACTACTCAAAATATTGAATAGATCAATTTTTCCGCCTTATCCCCTATCTGTTATCTACCATTTACATAATATCATAGGTTGTTAATACAGTACCAAATGCAATTATACCAAAATGTAAATGTCGTAAACGTAAACGTCCTACAGTTGTCGGTGTTAACGAAAATGCAGCTGATGAATACATTAAAGATGCGATTGAAGTCGGTGAAGCTGATGAAGAAGAAGATGAAATCTCTCCATTATCACTAGGTGGTGCTAATATGGGAATTGGTGGACGTATTTTATGGATTCGTGGTGTAAATCGTATTCAAACACAGGTAAGTCTATGTGTGAGAGATGATGGTGTGTTGAGGGATTTACGATTTTTTTTTAATCTAAATCTCTATATTTGTCGTTATAGTTTTCACAATTTTTTCCCTAAGAAGATTTTCATATTCTTTTCGGTAAGAAAGAATCCCACTTTGATAAAAGTAATAACACTATTGACTATTAGGTCAAAATCTAAATTTTCCCCTCTTTTGCACTTCACATACCTTAGCTAAGAGCAACTAAATGATATCACTAATTCCCTACTTCTAGAACGATGTAATACAATGTGTGTTAAACACAGAACTATTTACTTGATAACTAAGTTATGACCCTTATTATTCACTGGTACATTTGGTTTAACCGATTATGTCATCGTAATAGTTTGTGTATTCCAAATTGATAATGATTAATAAATGATAGAGTTAACAATAGTCTTAAAGAACCCTATGCTATTATTGTTTTTCTTTATATAATGAAGTAGTGTTAGTACCTTTGATGTATCATCAACAAACTTAACAAACGGATGCATATTGTATGTTTCTCATAAACAATTGCATAGATTATTTATTATTATCATCAGCTTTATTCAATATCATATACTTTTAGTACAATATAGAATTCTCAACTTAATGTATTTCGGTTGAGATCATGAATCGATTGATGTTAGACCACCATTTAAAACCTGAAAGCATTAGACGACCATTTCGTCCAAGTATGGGACTCCTCAGCAGTACGCATCCCCGATCATGCCCGCGAGACTCGAACCCAGGACCTTCGGTTTCACACACGAACACTTAACCTCTAGACCAATGAGCCGATGTCCAACGGTGTTAATCTCTAGCCTCATCCAATCCACAAAATTGCGTGAGCATCTTCCATTATATAGAGGTAGATACCTGTCTCCATTGATCATGGCTTCTCACTAGAACTCCGAGAATTCCCTCACGAAGCTAGTCACTAGTGAGCACATGGTAATTACCAGTATAGGGGTTGTGGAGATTATTAAGTTTTTGATTGAGTCGATGTACCGATTGATGACAGACCATCATTGAAAGCCTGGAAGCACTGGACGGCCTTTTTTTTTAAAGTTTTCTCACTGAATTTATAGTCGAAATTAAAAAATGCTTTCTTAATGATACTATTTATTATGTAATAGTAGTCTATTATCATATAGTAGGTTTTAACAAATTTTCTAATATCCGCGTATTTTCAGTTTATTCAAATGACTTTATCATGTTTGGCGCTAATGATAACCTTATAATCGTGAATGGAAATGAGAATCACGATATCTGTGGTATTAGTAATAAATTTAGGCAGATTCATGTAGTTAATAGAATGTACATATTTGTGCTTAGTAAAATGTTGATTATTATGCCTATGCATTACATCGTGGAACTTTTTCAAACAGTAACAATATACAGTAGTAATATTAGTATTAATATCAGAAGGGATTTTTGTGGACAATCATATAATTTCAATAGTTGAGATCATGAGTCAATTAAACCTAGAAGCACTGGACGGTCATTTTGTCCTATTGTGGGACTTCTCAACAGTACGCATCCAAGATCCCGAACACAGGACCGTCTAATGCTTCCAGGTTTTCCATGGTGATCTAGCTTCAATTGGCTCATGATCTCAACTATTGAAATTAGTACTAATAGTTAATTATTCCATATACCCACAAACGTTCATGCAAATTAGCATGTATATTATGTCGCTTTTTTTGTCTTGATGTATTTTTCTTAGAAATACTCATTAAGCTGTATAGTTTGATTATCATCGGTTTAGAATTGAATCCCAATCAACCGGTAACAAATTCGAATATCTCATCTCTTTATATACTTCAATTCGGTCAACTAGTACTTATATTAGTAATTTTTATTGTTGAATTGTGGCTTAAAGATTAGTATTTTGGTTGGATGGATCCTGTTGGATCTGTATAATCTGCTACTACATTGATTTTTCTTGGAAAAAAATTATTGAGAAAGATTGTGAATCTTACATATTAACCTTATAAAGAAAGCAGACAAATAGGTTTTCATGGCGAGATGATAATTTATGGACGAACCAATTAGATCTAGGATAACAGGTCCTAGATTTTGGGGCGAAATTTATTCATCCATTCAGCTAAATAGCGTTTTGGCACTATATCTGATATCAGTTCATGGTGAAAACCCTAAATCTAATTTCCAACCCTAACCATCAACTGTAAATCATAATTCTAACCCCTCACATTGGTTTAGAACCCTCATTTGGTCCTAGTTAGTAGGTGGACACCTTCAAGGTCACTTTGGAGTCGCTTAAATGTCGTCCATAAATTATAATCTCACTGTTTCCACAGTGAAATTTCTATTAAATTACGTTTGGTTCTATTTGAAATTCGTCATCCAAATGTACCTGGATCCTAATATTCTTGTTCATACTAGAACCTAAAACCATTGCCTTTTTCTTTTAAACGTTCATACGTCTTTCACTAATCTTTCGAGTTCAAACGTCGATTATCTTAGTCAACAAATATGAAATTACCAGTATAGGGTTGTTGAGGTTGTTGAGTTTTAATTGAGATCATAAATCGATTAATGTTAGACTACCATTCAAAACTTGGACGTACTGAATGGTCGTTTCATCCTAGTATGAAATATTATATACAAAGATTTCAGTTTCCCTGTTGTCAATATGTAAAACTCCATTTAATCAGTCTCATTTATTGGCTAAAATGTCAGTAGTCAAATTTCGAGATCATGTTTCAGATCAAGTAACTCTGACAATTACATTGTTATCAGTATAGGGTTGTGGAGATTGTTAATTTTTTTATTGAGATCACGAACCGATTGAGGGAATTCTCGGAGTTCTAGTAAGGAACCATGATCAGCGGAGCTAGTCGGTGTCGTCTAGTGACAGGTATCTACCTCAGACAATAGAGGATGGTCACGGAATTTCGTGGGGTAGTTGAAGTTAGATATTAACACCGTTGGATACCGAATCAGTGGTCTAGAGTTTAAACGTTCGCTCGAGAGATCGATTTCCTGGGTTGGATCGTGGTCGCGCACTGTTGAGGAGTCTCACAATAGGATGAAATGACCGTCAAATACTTCCAAGTTTTCAATGGGGTCTGGCATCAGTTGGTTCATGATCTCAACAACAAAAACTTACATTGTTATTGCTAGATGAAGTTAGTTAATATTATTACTATTATTATTATTATTCGCATATTTACAATTACTTATATACTTATTTACATTCCATTGTATATTTATATGCTTCTATATATTTTACTCTGTTTCCGCCAATCCCCTCCCTCTGTTACCTCATACAACTAACCAACAATTATCTAATCAATCCATAAACAAATAAACATCCCTCACATTTCTTCATTTACATTTTTTATTTATCATTTTTCTAGATGCAAGCTGTAAGTGGCCTTTCACGAAAGTAACTAACTAAACTCCTTGTGGGGTTGTTTGTTTGTTTGTTTTATTATTTTTTTTTATACATAAAGAAAAACGATTGCTTCGGTGTTGTTCCTGTTCCGGTTGTTGTTGTTGTTGTTGTTGTTGTTATATGTGATATTACGTTTTCCAGCTTTTGTTTAGTTTTCATTTTATTATCGCTGTGGTTGTTATGTTTCACTTATGCATACTACCCTTATACCTACTTATCTTATATTCGACTATTTGTGTGCACATTTGTTCCGTATTTTTGTTGTTGTTTTGTTATTTGTTTTACTTTAATCTCTTTATTATTTATTAGATTGTCAAATCATTAGTCAACTATGATATCTTCAATCAATTTAGTTGCCATGACAACATCTAATCATATTCATAATTCTTTACTTCTATTTAAAGAGATCTTTTTTCTCTTTGTTGTTGTTGTTGTTGTTGTTGTTCTCTTTACTTTCTTCTATTATTTACTTTTTTTAAAAGAACACAAAACAAACTGTTTTTAAGCAACAAATAAAACATTTATATATATATAATATATATATATATATATATATATATATATATATTATATATTATACTATTAGGGAAACAAGGTGTCTAATTTGACTGAATACCATTGAATTACATAATAACTATCTATGTCATCTGTTCCATTGTATTTTTATAATTAGAATAATGAATATTAAAACTATTTGAGTAGGGTTGTTTGATTTTGGGTTGTTTTTGTTTGTTTTTTTTAATTTTTACGGAAGAAAATCGATAGGTTAGTTTAGTTGATAAGGCACATTTCCATTGAAGGATCATGTTCATTATGACATCATAAAAAGGAGGTATAAATAATCAATGAAATGAGCCCATATATTTTGATTGATTATGTAATAAAATCGATTAGTTAGTTCATTTCTCTATTTATCCACGTGAATGTATAATTCAATTATATTGATTTTTAATCGGATCATTTTTTTGTTTTTTTTAAATTAAACATAAGGATCATGGTATATACATTTATTGATCGAACTTGAAACAGGTACCCTAAGCTGTATGAGATTTTCTGAATGAGAATGTGTAAAAAATAATGAAGGATCTCCACAAAACAAAAACTCTTTAATATCGAAATGAATGATAAATTAATCAGTGGAGTTCAACCAGGTCTGTTGTCAGGTATCAGCTCACTGAAAACAATGGTGTATGGTGGCGCAACTTCGTGGACTGGTTGCAGTTAGACATTAACACTATTGGATACCGGCTCAGTGATCTAGTTGGTTAAGCGCTTGGCGCGAGACTGATAGGTCCTGGGTTCGAATCTCGCACTGCTGAGGAGTCCCATACTAGGACAAAACGGCCGTCAAACAGTGCTTCCAGGTTTTCCATGGTGGTGTAGCCTCAATTGACTCATGATTTCAATCTGTGAGATAAATTAATCATTGGACTGAATTTGTGTGTTTTGTTTTTAAAATCTATTCAAAAACACTATTATGAAACTACCTTCAATCTTGATATCGGTTTTTCATGGAAAATCCAAGTAATTCAGTGATAATATTTCTATGTATGACACTGAGTCATGAGTTTAAAACTCACACAGAGAGAGAATATCAGCTACATTGAAACAGCCGATACACTTAACTACTGACAAGTTCTCAAGTTTATGGAACCTTGATGATGTATTGATTCCTGTCAAGTACTCATTAATCATCAGAAAGAAAAAACACGATCTATATATTCACGGAAACGGCATATAAAGTCAACCAACTTATTCCACTGGTTATCTTAGATTGAAATCGATTTTCTTAGGATGAAAGGGGGGGGGGTAATGTCACGTCTTACGTTTTAACTACTGTGACAGTTTTTTTTTGTTTGTTTCATTCTACATCTGTTAGCCATCATTATGGATCTATATAGATGGAACAGTTTTTTTCAACCATATTTAAAATTTATAGAAGAGTATTTTTCTTTCAAATTTATCCAAAGTTGATCGGTTTATTTTTACACTTATCAATTACAGAGAAAGAGATTTATCAAGGCAACCAAGGACGCAACTGAATATTAAAACAATTAATGTCATATGTTTAAGAATGTCTTCATGATATTTCTAGATAAATTCATCGATTATTATAGTTTTACGGTCATTATTCATACTATCAAGGGAGAAGTTATCTTTATGTTTAGTTTGGTTACTACTCAGTAAATTTCCAGTTTATATATAAGATGTTATATATAATAGTACTTTGAAGTTTCAAGTTATTAAACTTAGTGTTATATAGTTAGTGGTCTTGAGTGCGATTAGAGGTATGAGGGCGGTTATCGATTCCCAATTGCCCACACCATGGAAGGGTTCTTCTAGAGGTAACTGAAAAGGAAATTGGATTAAAGGTGGTCTTAGTGACCTGAGAGCGTGATCGCAGTGCCCAAGGGACAACTGCTTGAGGTGTTTTTGTGTTAGCTCCGTACTTGTTGAGACCTTACCACCGGAGACGGATATCCGTGGGATAAGGTGAGATGTATATTTTTAGGGTCAACCATTTCTAACCCCACCCCTCCTTGTAGGAAGACAGCATCGTTGTCATGCTGGTTGTCTGAAGGAAACACCTTACTGCTGTCACACTTCTGTACAGTCAGCAGTACGACTTCGCCTTCGGATCTTGGGTTTGCTGCTATTAGTCTTATCGCTCTTCAACCAACGTGTCTGACTGGCATGTTAGGACCTTGAGGAACGATTGTTGCAGTCAATATAACTGTATCGGTTCATCACGATAGGCAAGCCCGACCACCACGTTGAGGTAGCAACAATGGTTGGTGTTATTTAGTACTTATGTCGATATAAGTAGCTTACACCATAATGGAATTTAACTAGAATCATCACTTTCTTTTTTTAAGTGTACTCTTTTAAAATTGTGTTATTCTAAATTATTAAACTGTTTATTCTTAATTATAAGTGAACTAACTATAAATTGTACTGATTTTGATACGTCCATTTAACTGTGGTTGAATAATCATATTCATTCAACTTGGGTTATAATAAAATTGTACTGAAAGTGTTTAACTGAATGTTAAGTATAGTCTAAACTGAATACATCCTACTTCCCTCCATTTTATGTACTTGTATATGGGTGTTATATCCTGATGAGAATAATGAATGGTAACTTTTGGAATCCATTTATGGATCATTACTACACGTATATTTTTATCGTATAATTGTTAAGTAATTAAACTAGTCATATTCGTGTCCCTCTTGTCATAAGCTTTATTTTGACCTATGAACTGTTATTATACGATTTACCGTTCTTGAGTCATACTCAGTCTATCGATTACTACCTCCCATATTCACAGCCTCTTTTGGTTAGATCTTGTACAAATGTTGTTTTCTATTTTATTGGTATGATGTGGTCTGTCTGGTTGGTATATAAACTCAGTATGCTTGAAATAAATGATTCATATTGCAGAGGCTGAGATTTGCGTTCTGGACTTACGTGGCTGGGTTAGGCAGGAAGCAGGACCGATAAGTAATCTAAACTGCTCGTACGGGTTTTATGCGTCCTTCATGCGATAGATAATTCACTGCTCTTTAATTGGCGGTATCATTACGTTATACATTAACAGGGCACACAGACCACAATTTATAACAATGGGTGTATATGACCCATTAGAGATCTTAATAACTGTGTGTTTGCTTCATAGAATTGGACTATACTATTCAAGTCCTCCTGAATACCAATATAACTTCACTCTCTTCCAAGGTATATTTATAATTGTGATTTGTTTATGAGTGTGTGAGCGCGCGTTTCCAACAGATCCAAAACAATACAATCTATCATTTACTCCTATTTTTTTTTCTAATGCTGCATACATCTGAAATCTTCAATCAATGTATGACGATTATGTAATCATTGTTTCATTGTCATACATTCCTAATCAATCGAATGTTACAATCACTTCTCAATAGAACAACATTATTGTCAACATTTTTGTTGTATCATTTTGATATTGTGACATTCAGAGATGATACGTTTTTTTCTTTCTTCTTTTTCTTAAAGTAAATCAAGACTAGGAAATATGACACTATTGAAGTTGTTGTCATTTCACTTATCAGATTGTTATATATTTATCATCTTGTTTCTTACACATATAGTTTTTCAGTGAAATTCAAAGTTTTCTTCCTTTCAAACATCATTATTGTTTTTCTCGTGTACTACATATAGAGAGATGTGTATCTGTCTATGTAAAACTATCTTCAACTATATGTGTATACATATTCATTTAAACATATCTCTTTTGTCACTGGTTGAAATCATGAGTCGATTGAAGCTAGACCACCATGGAAAACCTGAAAGTACTGTTTGACGCCCGTTTCGTCCTAGTATGGGACTCCTCAGCAGTGCGCATCCACGATCCTGCACCCCACGAGATTCGGGCCCAGGACCTATCAGTCTCGCGCCAAGCGCTCAACCAACTAGACCACTGAGCCGGTATCCAATAGTGTTAATGTCTAACTTCAACCAATCCACGAAGTTGCGCCACCATACACCATTGTCTTCAGTGAGCTGATACCTGACAACAGACCTGGTTGAACTCCACTGGTCACTGCTTCTCACTAGAACTTCAGGATATATCTCTTGAAGTCAGTCACTACTGAGCTGAGGAGTCCCACAATAGGACGAAACGGCCATCCATTGCTTTCAGGTCTCCCATGATGGTCTAGCTTCAATTGACTCATGATCTCAACTGTTGAAATTGTTATTATTGTTATTATGGTCTAGTAAGTACTACTTATTTTCATGTCTCTTATCAATAGTGTGTGTATACATACATCGATCTATACATTGAATATTAAGTGTATTGTAAGTATTTCTAGGTGAAGTTTTTTTTGGAATTTAATAAAATTTCAATTTGTTTCTCTCAAAAATGAAAAGTACTAGGTGGTCGGAGATATTTCTAGTTGTCAGGCATCTAAATAATTATGATAATACATAATGTTATGCTCTATTATCTTATACATTAGATCTTTAGATCAAATGTATGGCTCTTTAAGCAAATCATCTGCTTCTATTTTGAGCACTTAGGCAGTAGAACAGCCTACATATAAATCAAATGATAAAGTGTGGCATACATATATATTTATAATGACTCTTTGTACCCTTGTTTATATATTTAACTAAACAAAATAAAGTAATACATGTAACTGCTAATCATAATAATCATAACCTAGACAATTGATGTAACTATTATTGATAATAACATCTAAACACTTACTAAATTGTTTATTTTATATACACTTATATACACTACTTATTATTTACTAGATACTATACTCACTTTTTTTTCATTTTGATGAATATAAGTATTTGGTTGTTTTGCTGTGTTTGCACCTTACAAAAAAAACAAATACATCTATACATAGTGAGTAATAGATGAGAAAGCACTTTGTGTGTGTATGTGTGTGTTAATTGAAGTGATTTATACATTTTAAGTAATACACATGCACATAGATATAACCTTTGGATATTCCCCCTTATTTATGGAGTATCATATTTGTTATCTCTGAAATCTGATTATACTATTAGTGCTAAGATGGCTATTTATAATATCAAAATTGTTTATATCAATAGTTGAGATCATGAGTCAATTGAAGCTAGACTATTATGGAAAATCTGGAAGCACTGGATAGTTGTTTCGTCCTATTATGGGACTCGTCAGCAGTGCGCATCCATAACTCCGCTTCGTGGGATTTCAAACCAGGACCTATCGGTCTCGCACACAAACGCTTAAACACTAGACCACTGAGCCGGTCGGCATCCTACTGTATCAATGTCTAACTTCAATTAATCCACGAAATTGATCAACACATCAGCCATTGTCATCAGTGAGTTACTATCTCACAACTGACCTGGTTGAACTCCACTGGTCACTGCTACTCACTAGAACTCCAGGATATACATCTTGAAGCCAGTCACTAATGAGCATATGTTGATTAGTAACAGAAGGGTGTTTTTGTGGATATCATGAGTCAATTGAAGCTCGACCATCATGGAATTTATTGTAAAAAGTTATTTTCATATGAATCATCCATACCATAAGGCATATAACTGGGATATTCATATAAATCTCCTTATCCTATTATTCTCTCTTTTATTTCCCTATCTTCTTCTCAATATGTATATACAGATTTTACATTGTATTGACTTAATTTCTAAACTTTTAATGAGAAAAAAGTTATGATCAAGACAGATCATACCTAAATATCCACATACATACACATTTATTTATTTATTTATTTATTTATTTACTTACTTACTTACTTACTTACTTACTTACTTATTATTTATTTATTTATTTATTTATTTACTTACTTACTTACTTACTTACTTACTTACTTACTTACTTACTTACTTACTTACTTACTTACTTACTTACTTACTTACTTACTTACTTACTTACTTACTTACTTACTTACTTACTTACTTACTTACTTACTACTTACTTACTTACTTACTTACTTACTTACTTCTTACTTACTTACTTACTTACTTACTTACTTACTTACTTACTTACTTACTTACTTACTTACTTACTTACTTACTTACTTACTTACTTACTTACTTACTTACTTACTTACTTACTTACTTACTTCAACACTTACTTACTTACTTACTTACTTACTTACTTACTTACTTACTTACTTACTTACTTACTTACTTACTTACTTACTTACTTACTACTTACTTACTTACTTACTTACTTACTTACTTACTTACTTACTTACTTACTTACTTACTTACTTACTTACTTACTTACTTACTTACTTACTTACTTACTTACTTACTTACTTACTTTACTGACGCCTTCGATATTAAACATTGTTATTACCCTCCCACTAATTTTGCATGTCTCTTACATACATTTCCTATCTTCTTTTACTATTCATATAGTTTCCAATTCTAACAATATAAAGTTTTTTATTGATATGCATATTCAAATAGCTCGTCTCTATTACATTTTAGTTTGATTCAAATGCATAATGTAAACATTGATGAGCATTTTTCAACTGTTCCATGCATCATCCTCTTTAATATATGTATATGCGCATTCATAATTATCCTTAATTTATTGTATATTTCTTTTATATTACAAAATAATTGGGCATGTTTTATAATTAAAAAGAACATCAATAAACTATATTCAATTCAATTGATGCATGTGTTTATTTCATCATTAAACTATCTGGTTCACTTAAATTGTTTTGTCTTTAAATTTTCTTACTACTGAATTCAGGATATAAGTATATGTTTATATCCAAATGGAATTTATAGATTTCTCTTAAATAATTTAGTATATGTTATCAATTCAGTAGTATTTCTTTTCATTATAAATTATCCTATAGAGGTAAGTTGATAAATTGCAAACTACTCAAGTTTACTCTGAACGGTTAGGTTTTCTTTTTGATTTTTTGTTTTAGATAAATACATACAGATTAAGAAATAGAATAGGTAAATGAATAGATCTAGTACAAATGGAATAGCTTGATAATGTCTAGTTGTAAAGATCATTTACATAGAATCCAAGAAATAATAAGAATCACTAGTATTGAATATTAAATTTGTTCTATGGTATACAAATGTTTATGTCACATCTGAGGGGAAACACGGAATACAATGGACAGTTCAGAACCGATTAGACGATTTGAACTTCGCAGATGACCCGGCCCTCCTATACCGTACACACGAACAAATGCAGATAAAGACAGCCAGTTTAGCAGCAGTCTCTGCGTCAGTAGGCCCCAACATACACAAGGGGAAAACCAAGGTCCTCAAATACAAAACGGAGAACAGCAATCCAATCACTCTTGATGGCGAAACTCTGGAAGATGTAGAATCCTTCACATACCTGGGAAGCATCACGATGGACAAGGAGGCTCAGATGCAGACGTAAAGGCAAAGATTGGCAAAGCAAGGGCCACATTCCTACAATTGAAGAACATATGGAACTCAAAACAACTTTCAACCAATATCAAAGTGAGAATCTTCAATAGCAACGTCAAGGCAGTTCTGCTGTATGGAGCTGAAACTTGAACAACTACTACAACCATCATCAAGAAGATACAAGTATTTATAAATAGCTGTCTTCGCAAGATACTCAACATCCATTAACCGGATACCATTAGCAACAGCCTTCTGTGGGAGAGAACAAACCAACTTCCAGCTGAAGAAGAAATTAGGAAAAGAGGTTGGAAGTGGATAGGACATACATTAAGGAAATCATCAAACTGCATCGCGAGGCGAGCCCTAACTTGGAATACTGAAAGGAAGCGGAAAAGAGGAAGGCCAAAGAACTCATTACGTCGGATAATAGAAGCAGATATGAAATGGATGAATAACAACTGGAAAGGATTGACCAGGACAGGATTGGATGGCGAGTGCTGGTGACTATGCTCCTCCACAAGGAGTAACAGACGTAAGTAATATGCCTTAAATTATGTTTTTAAACAACAATAGCAACAACAACCAATCGATTAATCAGGTTTGTTTTATTTTCATATCCATGCCAAGATTTTTTTCTTGTTTTCTTATTATCAATTCACTAGAATCGATGTATTTTATCTTTACCATAATCGGTGAAATAATCATTTAACTCTCATCTCTTTCATCGCTTCTTTATAAATTAGCTTAAACCTAAATGTACATTACTTAATGTTAAATATTCGAAACTGTTTATGACATGAATTGTGTTTACAGTTTGTGTGTGTGTGTGTGTGTCTGTTTATTAAAAAAGAAAAACATCCATGTTAACTAAATCGTCAACAAAAAATGATGGTGATGATGACAACGAAAGCAAATTTCTTGATGATGATGATGATGATGACGTAAGTATCTGTCATTGATAAAGAAGATGAAATGAAGGAAATAAATAGAAAACTTATTGCGTAACTTGTTTAAGAAAAAGTTTGTTTGTTTGTTTTCTCTTTAAAATTAATTTTCGAATTGATTTATCTATGTATGTTTATATCAATAGGGGTATTACTGAAATACTGACTTACGCCTGTTACCCCTCATGGAGAGAAGCATAAGCCACTTCCCCCCCCCCAGCATTCTTCATCCAAATCTGGTTTGCACAATACTTTTCAGTTGTTATTCATCCTTTTCAT